CTCAGGGAAATCCGCCCACTCCGCCCTGCCCCCAGACACACGCACACACACACACACACACTTTAGGGAGGGAGTTGGCTTCAAATGCAAGGGTAGCTGCTCCTGCCAACATCGTGATTCTCAGTGTGAGCTCTGTCCGCAAGGGTACATTTAATGGATATGATGTGGTCTTCCTCTGTGCTTGTTGGGATTGGGATGCAGATAATCTTGTTGACCAAAAATTCCACCTTTATTCTTGACTTGAATCACCTAATCTCCTTCCCACTAAGGAATCTTTTGTTCAAGGATGAATTCTGTAAACCAGTTAAAGTGACAGTTTTATGTTTTGACATGAATAATTAAAATGTTAATGTTTGTCAGGCTTGCTTTTATGATGGCTATCTCCGTAAGCCATGTAGTGGAGATTTTCTATTTCATTGAATTTTTATTAACTAATGGTTGTACATACTTACGGGGTACCATGTCATGTCTCAATACAGGTGTACATTGTGCAATGCTAAGGGTAAACAGAGCTACCTCCTCAAACATTTATAGGCTTTGGTGAAAGAAAATCATATATATATAATAAACATAATGAGTACACTGTTGTCCTCTATAGTTGTCCTACTATGTCATAGAATTCCGGAATTTCCTTATCCTGTCCAACTATAACTTAGAACCTATTAACCTTTCCTGATCTTTTCATATATTTGTCATATACTGAATGCATTATCTTTGGATAAATATTCAGTAATTGCTGGGTCATATTGTAGTTTCAGTGCTGGTGTTTTGAGGAACCTGTGTACTGTTTTCCACAGAGGCTGTAATAATTTACATTCCAGCTGACCGTGTGTGAAGGACTCTCTAATCTTCATATCCTCAGCAAGTCTCTTGTCCTTTTTTTTTTAGTAAGAAAAAAACTTCTTTATGTATTTGAAAGGCAGGGTTACAGAGAGGCAGAGGCAGAGAGAGAGAAAGAGAAGTCTTCCATTCACTGGGTCTCTCCCCAAATGGCCGCAATGACCGGAGCTAGGCCAATCCAGAGCCAGTAGCTGAGAGCGGCTTCAGGGTCCCCAGCATGGGTTGCAGGGGCCAAGCACTTGGCCTTCCCACTCCCCAGTACCGAGCTGGATCAGAAGTGGAGTAGCCAGGTCTCAAAATGGTGTCCACAGGGGATGCTGGCACTGCAGGTGGCAGCTTTACCCACTACGCCACAGCATTGGTCCCTCTGTTGTCTTTTTGACGGTGACTATTCCAACTGGACAGTATGGTGTTTCATTGTAGTCTTGATTTGCATTTACCTGGTGATTAGTGACACTGAGGGTGTTCTTCATGCACCTGTTGGCCATTCTTTTCCTCCTTTTAAGAATGCCTTTTCAGATCTGTTGCCCATTTTTAAATTGGAGTATCTTTCTGTTCTACTGAGTTGGGTTCTTTATGTATCTGGTTATTAACCCCTTGACAGTTATATAGTTTGGGAATATTTTCTCCCATTCTGTAGGCTGTTTCGTGGACTGTTTTCTTTGCTATGTAGAAGCTTTTTAGTTTGAAATTCCACATGTCTGTTTTTACTTTTGTTTCCTATGCTTTTAGTACCCTAGACATAAAAACTTTTATTCTAATGTCCTGAGGCATTTTACCTATGTTTTTTTCTGATGGTTTTACAGTGTCTGGTCTTACATTTAGTTTTTTTGTTTGTTTGTTTTTTTAAGATTTATTTGAAAGGCAGAGTTACACAGAGAAGCAGAGAGAGAGCGGTCTTCCATCTGCTGATTCACTCCCTAGGTTGGCCGCAATGGCTGGATCATCGCTGATCCAAAGCCAGGAACCAGTAGTTTCTTCCGGGTCTCCCATATGGGCGCAAGGGCCCAAGGACTTGGGCCATCTTCTGCTTTCCCAGGCCATAGCAGAGAGATGGATTGGAAGTGGAGCAGCTGGAACTCAAACTGGTGCCCACATGGGATACCTGCACTGCGGGTGGCAGCTTGACCCGCTATGCCACAGCGCCGGCCCCTACATTTAGGTCTTGAATCGATTTGGAGTTGATTTTGTCTATGATGAAAGAGAGGAGTGAAAGTCTCGTTTTGCTCTTACATATGTGGATTCCCAGTGTCTCCAGCACTACTTATGGAAAACCTGTGGCTTCTCCAGTGCACATTTTGAGCAAGTTGGCTGAAGATCATTTGCTGTCAGTGTGTATCTGTACTTGTGGGATCTCTAAGTCAGTGAGTTTTCTACCTTCTGATATTTTCTTTTTCCTGCATAGTGTCTTTTCCTTTGAGTCTGAAGGATTCCCATCAGCGTATCTTTTCTGTTTTTACATTAAAAAAAAATTGATGTGGGAGGGAGGAAGAGTGGGGGGAAGACCCATCTACTGGTTCCTTCTCCTGATGCCTGCACTGCCTGGGCTGGGCTTGGGAGATGGACACTCAGTGCGGGTCTCCCAGGTGTGCACGGCAGGAACCCAGTTACTTCAGTCATCACCCAGGAGCTGCACTAGAAGGGAGCCACAGTCAGGAGCCAGAGGTAGATTTCAAACCCAGAACTCCAAGGTGATTTCTGGGCACCTGCAGCACTAGACCCGTTGACTGTAGACCATGTAGGCAGGGTCTGGTGATAATCCTTATTGCGAGTTGGTCTGGGAACCGGTCCCTCCTTCCAGTTAAAATACAGCTTGTATGGGTCGTCTTGGTTGGCGGTTTTCTCCCTTCACTCATTCCACGCCTGGCCTCTAAGGTTCCTGCTGCGAAGTCAGCAGTCAGGTGGCTGGGAAGTCCCTTCGGTGGTCTGTGTTTTCCTCTTGCAGCTTTGAGAGATTCTCCATATAAAGGAGTTCCATAAAGCTTTCTTTCTCAATTTTTTCTTTACAGAAAGCCATTTTTTTAATTTAATATCAATCAGAAATTAGTAGAGGTGACAGAGGTGCTTATGGGAAACTGGTGAGGATGCTAAACGAGTGACAGTAGTTCCCAAATCACCGTGACAAAGACTGAGATCCTCTCTGGAGGAGGAAGGTAGCTGCCACTCAGATCCAGGGGTGACGATGAGCAGTAACTCGGGCGTTAGCATCAGCATCAGTGGAGACAACAGAGAGGGTCAAGGAATTAAAATCCAAGGGAAAACGTAAGGTAAGGGGGTCAAAGCATAGGTTCTTGGCATACTTCTACATTTTTAAACATCTATTTATTTGAAAGAGTTACTGTGAGAGAGGGAGACACACACACAGAGAGAGAGAGAGCGAGCGAGCTTCCATCTGCTGGTTCACTTCCCAAGCAGCCACTATGGCCAGTGCTGAACCAGGCCAAAGCCAGGAGCTTCTTTCAGGTCTCCCACATGGGTGCAGGGGCCCAAACTCTAGGGCCATCTTCCACTGCTTTTCTGAGGCCATTAGCAGTGAGCTGGATCAGAAATGGAGCAGCTGGGACACAAACTGGAGCCCATAGGGGATGCCAGTGTTGCAGGTGGTGGCTTTACCTCCTATGCCACCATGCCAGCCCCCATGTTTTACATTTTCTAAGATGAACTGGAATGACACATAAGTTAGCGACCTTTTCCAGATCACATTTAATAATGAATCTGTGCTATTAATCCCATAAATTATTTCTTGCACACTCTACACTGCTGTGGGATCCTCTTTCCCTATCTGTAGCATATACGTCATGCAGAAGGTTCTTACTGCATCCTAAGGGACTTGGGGTTGCAGGCTCCAGGCACGGCAGTGCTGTCACCCCAGAGAGAAGCAGTTATTAGGAGATAGACTTTGGTACGCGACAGTCTTTAAGTATCCTTCGTTCTAAAGTGGGGATTTAAATTCCCTAATTCATCATGAAATCATTTATTGCCAAACTCTGTTCACATGGCTCTCTTGGGCCATAACAGGAGAGTTCTATGTTCTCTCTCTCTCCCAGGATGGTTCAGCACAGGGACAGGAGAACTCCAGGGAACCTGTGAGAGTCCTGTACTGACCCCATTACTCTACATTGGGCCCAAGGGCACACAGTCAGTGTCTCTGAATCCCAGAGTCGTCACCTGTAACCAAAGGGTACCCGATTCCTAAGTAGGCTGTTGGGAGGCCTGAGACAACACATGTGCTTTTAGCAGTACCTGGCACCCACTCAACACTAATACAGGGTGGCTTGTAATAGTTTGTTGCCAAACAACACAGAGGTGCCTTATTTTCTGTTTTGCATTCTTATTTCTTATGTCAGCTACTGGAAATCACTGCCAGGGGCTTCTGTGAATGCGTATGCAGGTGGAAGCCAGGGTGTGGAGAAAATGCTGTGTAGTTAGGTCAGTGGCACTCACTCTGCCCGGGTAGCTATTGGCTATTTGTCTGGTGATGCAAAACTGGCAAAACCTGGCAACGGCTTTCAGTGTTCTGTGTCTGCTCCTCTCGCCCCCATCCTTCCACTCCTCCCCCTGTTGTTCTATCAGAATGCTTTCAAGTGGAAGACGCCCATGGACGGCAGCTTTCTCTTAGGCGATGTCATAGACAAGTGCTTGCATGTCCATTACACGAGAGCACAGCAGCTCTGCCCCTGCCCAGGATACAGAGTGCGCCATCTCGTTCGTGGCAGAATTTGACAGTAGCCAATTCTGTAAGACGCACAAGAGAAAAATCTAATTACTGAATAGTTTCCTCCCCCCTGGGAAGTTATTTTCTGAGTTTTGTTTTTTTATTTCAAACAGAGTTGGAGACCTTCCATCAGCTGGTTCATTCCCCAAATGCCTGCAGTGCCCAGGGTTGGGCCAGACTGAAGCCGGGAGCTCCTTCCAGGTCTCCCACGTGGATGCGGGGGCCCAAGTACTTGGGCCATCTTCCACTGCTTGCCCAGGCGCATGAGCAGGGAGCTGGAGCCGAAGCGGCGCAGCTGGGACTGAACTGCAGCCATATGCGATGCCGGCGCTGCAGGCTTTACGTAACCTCTGCACCGCAGCCCGGGCCCCTCGGGTTCGACAGGTCCGTGAGCTCAGAAATAAGCTCTTGCACAAGTGAGAAGTCGGGTCACAAATTTCAAAGATAAAGAAACAGAATACTTTATTATAAAACTTATAAAATAATTAAATATTACACATATATTTTGACCTTTCTCTATAATCCAGGGTTTTATTCAACATTTTCTTCCTCAGAATTAATATCACTTAGAAGCAAGTGGAAACACATAGGAATAGGCTATTAATAAATTAATTTTTCCATAAAATAAAAGGATAATTATATAAAGAAACACATAGCTTGTTACTTTTCAGAGGGCAAAGCATGTGATGGCAGGGCACCATTCTTTTTTCTGATGATCAAATGTTCAGTACTGGAGGCCAAGCCGCATGGATCGAAAAAAGTGCCTAATCATTATTTCTCTGAGGTTGAAGGACTCATGATTTTAATTAGAGTGGGAAAAAGGGATGCTACTAAATTTAACAAACCACTGTCTGGCCGGTGATGCTGAGCTGGCGAATCCTGCATTGAATTGAGATGTTTGGTAAAGAAGTAAAATTGGGTCACATTCTTCAAAGGAGTTGAGGAACAGAGTCGAATTGTATAAATATGCTCTGTCTAACCACTTTCAAATAATTACAGAAGGATACAATCTTGTAAGTTACTTTGGTTTTGGCAAAACACTGTGTGGTATTTTTCCAATTGAGAACAATTTAAAACTCATTAATGCCTACCAGCAGCTGGCTTCTGATGAGTGGAATTTCAGCTGGAGGGCTGAACCACTCGTTCACTCAAGGGCCTGGGCATATTACGATTTATTAACATTCATGTAGCACCAAGACAAATGGGTGTTTATGGCCACTTTTTCCTCCTGTTCCTTAAATCCTAGGCCAAATGTAGACACGTCAGTTGGTAGGAAAGAGCCCCTAGTGGGCTCTGACTTTGCGAGCAGCTCTGCTCATAGGTGCGGGGCATTAGAAAGGATGGCTTCCTCACCCTCCCAAGACCGCGGCTCTGCCTCTGGGCTCCTCCTGGAGTTGGATTAGAAATGAGCATCTCGCGGGTTCATTCCCCAGCAGCAGCCTCGGGCCTCCTAAGGACTTGTTCCGTAAGCACCACAAGGTACAAGGTTGACACAGGAAGAGCATGAGTTTCTTTCCTCCCGCGTGTGAATTTCAGTCGCGTGGAGATCTTCAGCAGTCCGTGTTGCCTTATGTCCAAATATTCCTGGGAACACTTTTCAAGTTATTAATTGTCGTCTTGGAGACTCTAAGCAGAATATACCTTAAACAAAGTAATAAACAACACACACTAACTAAACAGCACAGGAAGCTTGCTTGTCCAGCAGCAAGCACAGCGGTGAGCACCGTCGGGCTTCTCGCGTGGAACTCCGGAGGGGGCTGTTGACAGTTTCAGTCGAGCCGCGCCGACGCCCCCGTGTGTGACTGCTCCAAGTCACCGTCTCTGCCCTGAAGCCTGAAAGGACCGTTGCAACACAGAAGCCCTTGGAGTTCAAAGGATGCAGGGAGAAGTCCGTTTTGAAACTGTTTAAGACTGTTAGGTTGTCAGAAGGAAAATCTGACTGACGTGTCTCGGTGCGATTCCTCACTTCTTTACCATAGCAGTGCAAATCCAAAAACTGGGCTGGGCTCTGCTGTGTTTTTGTAATGCAGATTTGTCATCGCTTCTGATTTTCAAGTGCTTTGGAGTACCACGTGCTTCGGGAAACAGAAGGAGGACTGAGGTTTGGACGCTGTGGCTGGAGGTGGTTGGAGAGGCTCCACTCTGGCTTCACCAGGCGGCTGCTGTCTCCAGCGATGGACTGGGCAGGCCCCGGGGAAGATGGGCCAGGCCGGTCAGCTCTTCCTTGTGCACGACCTGCAGCACTGCTGGCCATAGAATTTGTGGTTGCAGACGCCGTGCTGGGGCACCAGGTGACACCAACTGAAGAAATCCACACAAGATGGATCCTCTGCAAGGAAAATACAGCAGGGACATTAGCCGGGTTCTCCAGCCTTTTTTTAAGGTGAGAATCTGGAAAGAAAGGGGGTTCATCTCCCGGGGGCCTTTCTGTATGGTCTTCCCATTAAATGGTAGGAGGGAGATAGGGGCATAGTACGGTACCAAAAGGGACCGTGGCCACAAGCAAAATGGAAGCAGATTCTATTTTTGGGGGGAGAACCAGACATGGATCTCTGACCTATGACCTGAAAGATGGAAGGAAAGCACCCCAGAACCATGCATCAGGAATTCCCTGGGGAGCTTGTTAAACCGTCGCTGTAAATGGGTGAGGCTACTTCAAAAGGTCATGGGAGAATAGCATGAACAGAAATTAGGGTGCCAACAGTTTTTGGAATCCATGCACCTTTTTCACACTTGGCGTGATTTTCCCTAAGTCCATTCCATGGACACTCAGGGAATGCTCCCTGCTGCTAGCCCTTGAACCATCTGCTTTAGCAAGCAGGAGGTGAAATACATTTGGAGTCAGGAACCTGGATTTCTGACCCAGCTCCAGTATTCTGTGTAGGATACATCTCGTAGTCATTTTGCAGATAAGCAAATGTAAGTCAAGCCCAGTCCTTTCTAATTTTTTCAGCTGCTCAAGTAAGATGACTGACAGATAAGATGTCGTACACCAGAGATTCTTACAGAGAAGGGCCTCAGGAGACAAGGTAAGTAAAATCTCCTGTGAACGTAAACACAAGTCTCAGAAGCTGGGATTCCTTCTACTGCAGCACTGGCAGCTGGAACTGTGTAATCCTTAAGCTGCTGGTAGCCTTGAGTCAGCTACAACCCCCTGCACCCGCAAGGGATCCACTCCTCATGAATCTGCAAAGGTGCTGCCAAAGGCGAAACCCAAGCCTCTGCCCTTGAGCGTGGCTTGGCCGCATCTCAGCCCTCCTGCTGCTATCTGTGATTCAAGACTGCTTACAGTTCCTTCCCCCAACCTTGATGGTTCCACATAAAGTTCCCCTTTCTATACCTGCAGTGATCCCTTGAAAGCCTAAGCCCCTTCACTAGCAGGCCTGCATTCCCAACTCTTCCAACCCACTGCAATCAAAGATTCGGTCCCCTTTCTTTCCCAATGCAGCTGAACTGGATCTCTTAGGATGCTCTGGTCCTCCCAGGCATTCACTGGGTTCCCCTGTTTCTCTGCTAGAAACACTTTTCCCCAAGGCACTGTAAGTCCAATTCCAAGGTCATTTATCAGTTAGACCTTCCCTGACAATATAAAACCAGCAAGTTCCTTGGCCTCCCATGAGGTATCCCTAGTTATGTACCTTGCATGTATTAGCATGCACTAGATTCTGTGTTTGTGTTCTAGAAGCCAGATGAACACCAAACTTCTCAAGAGCAATGTCTTTGCTCTTTTAATTGCTTTAACTCCGCACTTCAAATAGTTTTTGTCACAAAGTCAGTATTTGTTAAGTGCAGTTCTCTTTATACCTAAGCTGAGAATCAGCAGGTTTGAATTAAAGATGTAATAATGGGGTTACTCTTTTCTTTCCAGGAATTCCTAGATACATTTGGAGGTACAGTCTAAAGAATTTGCTGGCACATTTGGTATAAGGTAAGTGAGAGAAAAAGAGGGAAAAGCAAGAATGACCAGCCAGTTTAACAGTGCTGTGTACAGTTAAATAGCAGCTCTGTTCCTGATTCTTAAAGACAATGTGCCAGACCACACGACTATTTTTATGACCTGAGTCCTTGCTCTTGGCAATATAAACATTGCCTGCTCCCATCTAAAGAGAAAGGTGCCCTAAGGGGCAGCTTATTAATCCCCTAGTCATCTTCCAGCTACTGACACTGTAGTGTCACCAGCCAGTCTCATCCCTGCCCCCTCTTACATTTTTACTTACTTGGAGAGAGTGAGTTTCAATCCAATGTAGCTTTAAATGCCTACATCATCCAAGATGGGGTTGCTGAAGCTTGGGCGTCAGCACCCCCACCCTCCCATGGGTGGCAAAGACCCCACTACCTGTGTCATCGCCACTGTCTCCTGGGGTATCCGGGAACAGAAAGCTGTGACTGGAGCTAACGCTTGAATCCAGGCACTCCAGTATGGGATGTTGGTGACTTAACCACTTAGCCCAACATGTCTCCTCTTCTCTTAATAGAGTTTATACAGAAATATATACAATGCAAAGGTCCCAAGGCTGAAATCCAGCCAGGTAAGGCACTCCACAGCAGTTACAGTATAGGATGAATACCCCTAGACGGGCTGTGAGCATCCGGGGGGCCTGAGGGACGGTCAACTTTCTCACCTATACTAGAATAGATGGCAGCAACCTCGGCAGAAGGGTCTTCTCTAGGGTCCAAACTCCTTTAGCCCAACCCTTGTCTTCTGAACACTGACTGCAAGGAAGATGACTGACATGGCCGTGGTTATGGGACGATGGGAATGGCAGCACTGGGAAAGAGCCCCCAAACCATTCACGTAAATCAAATGTCTGATCGTCCTCTCTTCACTGTTGCTCTTTGGAGAAAGCTACATTCCTATTCCTACCACGCCAGTACAACTGACCACCACTGCAACACTGCCAATATCCCACCCCTCCTATTAATCATTTCCACTAAGCCCATGTCCTCTGATACACTAAGCTCTGTGGGCCTCAAAGACCCCGAGTTGTTCTTTAGCCTGGGAGATGGACAGTAGGTACTTGCTATCCATTGAAGGAAGCAGAGGGCTTCCTGGTACTTGAGCACCATCTGCGTACAACAATGCACTTCCTAAACCCACGGCCTCCCTCTGTCCTAGGACCGTGCATGCATTGGGATCCCGTTCACTGCACCACTGTCATTTCCGCCTGTAGACCCAGGAGAGAAATGAGAAATCACTGCTGGTAAACAGAGGAGGAGAGGGCCTGGAATAATGTGTCTGTGTGCTCAAAAATACCCATTTCTTCTCCCTGCAGAAACCCACCACAGTTCACAGATTGTGTGCTCGCCTCAGATACAACAACTGAACATTGATGACCTAAGCCCAGAGGTACCAACGGGAAGTCTTGGAAAAGCTATAGCACTTTTATGCTAGCAAGTGACACCTTAGCGCACTGGAATCTGGTGAGGCTGAAAAATAGTTCCTGGTGGTCCTCAGACTGCTTTACAGGAAGTTGGACCAAGGCTGGTGTCAGTATTTTCCCATCCCTGCACTTGAACTCTAACTACAGCAGTAGCTAAGATGCAGTCCTAGGGTGGTTACATCTATAGTGCCTCATTGATTAAAACCTAAGCTCCGTGAAGGCACTGCCTGTTCATTCATCTCTGGCACAAAGGGGTTACTTTGGCATTTATTTACTGAACAGTGCTTAATTTCAATCAGTTGGGCAGGAACCAGCCCAGGAGTGGGGCCTTGGACCCATCTAGGGAGCACTGTTCCTGACACTTTGATGTGCGGGGCTGTAGTAGAGCAAGGTGCTGCCCAAACCACTCGAGTGGGCTTCTGCCAAAGCTCTCTGAAGACAAATTGCATGGACAGGCACACGGGTCCTTTACCTTTCTTTTCAGGAGCCGGACAGAAGTTCGTGTTGCAGGCTCGTAGCACGGGAGGCTTCTGCCGGAGCAGACAACTTGCAGAAGGCCGGCCTTGGTGCACACAGTGCACAGAGCGCGTCTGGACCCCTCCTCCGCAGGTCACCGTGCACTGCAGCAGGAGGAAGCAAAGGTCAGCGTCACCCACGGCAAGGAACCACAGCCAGGCCCACAGGGGTGGCAGTGCCTGCAGCTCCCCTAACATGATAGAGCCCTTGAGTGTGCTTCGAAGGGCCTTAGGCAAAGGCTGGCTGGCAAGCCCGTGGGTTCCAGAACTGCAGAAGCTGCCATAAGAAGACAAACAAATGCAGACACATGGAGGGAAGTCATCACGCTGCTGACAGGCTGCCCGAGCATCTCTGTGGAGGTGCTAGTTCCCAACTAGGACAGACAGAAATGGTCATCAGAGACAGCTCTGGAATTATGCTCTGGCTGTGCCTGGAGAGCATGAGTTACTGTGGTACATTCCTTGGTTCCTTAAAGTCAGTGAAGCCACAGTGCCCTTCCCACAACCCTAAAACTGACAGCTCAGGCTTGCCCCCTTTGGTTTTAAAGGCAGTTCTGAAAAATAAATGTTTATAACAAAAAACAACAGGGAAAATGCAGCTCTGATTTTACTGCAGATGAGGGCTTCCTGAGTTTCACTCTATGGCCTGGTGCGGGGAGGAAAAGGTACGTTAGGTGTATAGGGTTTGAGGTTTAGAATCGGCCCCACTTTCACATATACCCATACAATGGTCAATGGATCACTGGAACCAAGAACTGGCAAATGCTCTAGGCTTTACCATTGTGTGCTGTCGGCCAAAAGCAGCTATGGTCAACCTGGAAGTGAATGAGCAAGGCTGTGCTCCCAAAATACATTTACAGGAAGGGGTCTGGGAGAGCAGATCAGTCCTGCTGGCCCCCGATGTAAATTACATAATTTTTAAAGAATCCATAGGAATAATACCCGGGCCCCTAAGATACCCATTTCCTTCTGTCCATATTAAGCTGTTTTGGGCACAGAAAAATTAAAGTCATGTATTTTCTTTCCTAATAAACACGTGGACGCAGAGGAACCCCCCAGGTGTGTGCTTGCATATGTCCCCACACCCCTGTGCAGTGGGGGTGTGAGCAGAGCCTCTCCCATGGCCAAGTCCCCTGAAGCACTGGGGGCTGCGATGGCACAAGGATCTGTTTTCCCAGATTAGCGAGCCAGGCATTCCTGCGAGGCAGCTCAGCCAGAGATGGTGCTAACCATCTACTCACCTAGGCTGCATTGCCCGAAACACTGAGCTACTGGACCACAAGATAGCGGCGATACCCACGCGTTGGGTGAGAGGATAGTGAATGCATGTCAGGCACTTGGCACAGTGCCCAGAATGGGTTCCACCCATCTTAGCTCTGCGATTCAACAATCAAAGCCCCAACGACGGATGACCATTGCAACATTAGGAGCAGCCACAGCCAACCGTTTTCTTGCAGGCAAAAGTCCCTCTACCAGCTATGCCTACCCTGATACTCTGGGTGTGAACCAGGTTTACAGATTAGGGGACCTGCCTCGAGGCACAGCACTGATGGAGCAGGTGGAAGACCTCAAGAGATGGCAGAGTTTGAGCCCACTACACCTTCCACAGACCGCGTGCCCGTACCTGCTGCCAGGGTGATGAGTACCATCCAGCCGCCGAGTTGTACACGGGACGGGCTGGACACGGCCTTCGGCTGCACGTCTCTTCCAGGTCCAGCGTGGGCTTCTTCACATTGCGGCACCTTCGCTCTGGGAAAGGTACGAGTTTTCCCTGCAAGGTCTTCTCGCTGCACGTCAGCTGCCGCTTCCTCACACCCACACCACAGGTCGCAGAGCACTAGGAGCCGAGACAGGAAGGTGTTCAGGGCTCGGGAGGGAAAGCTGCTGAGCCAGGGTGTATGCACAGAAGGCCACAGCCTCTGTGGGGACATGCACAGAGAGAACTGGGGAGATCAGGCACACACACTTCTAAATCACGACGCTGGAGGTGAGGAAACCCCAAGTCAGAATCACGGGGCTCTCAAGCAGAGACTGGGAGGTACCCCGTGGGTGTGACATGGAGCCCAACTCCAGGAGGAGGAAGACGGCAGGGGCTCTGGGTGGTGTCCACGTGGATGTCCAGCGGCAGGGTGCTGCTTATGGGTGTCCAGAACAACCTGAGGCCTCTCTGAGGATGTGGAAGTCTAAGCCAAAGAAGTAGGGTGCAGGGAAGGGGGTAAGAGCCGAGTGGGAAGACCCACTGTCTGTTAAGTAACTGTTCTTTGTATTTACCGACCTCTCGCTGCGCTAAAACCCAGCTGTGCATGGCAGAGGGAAAAGGGAGGCAGCTGATGAACCAAGTATGAGAGCTGCCGTTTAAGCATTACTGGGGAGCAATCGTGTGGAGCCCTGAGAAACTGCATCAGAAACTGGCATCAGTGTATCCGTCGTGCAGGAGAGGGGAGGACACTGTGCTTTGTACACTTGACATTGCCGGCCCCACAGCAGAGGGGAGGAAAGCAGGGTTGAGCCACGTCAAGTAGCCCGAAGTCATGCCCACAGTAACCATCAAAGGCTGATGGAGACGGGGAAACTGGGTGCAGTCGGTTTGTTTGAAACCCAAGCCTTCAGCCGTTAGATCGAAACGTCTCTTTAGAGCCAACAGGGCAGGAGAGCAGCACCGTGCACACCATCAGCACCCATGGGAGGGACACAGGCCTTGGCCAGAATGAGGAGCATCGAGGGAGCAGAGCCCACCGATCCAGTGGCAGCCCTCCACTGGTGAACGGGCCCACTCCAAACATGGACCTTTGGCCTCTGCATTTCACCACAGGAGCCGATATCACATCCTATGCCACATTTAGCTCCAATTCCAAAGACCAGAAATTCGGGAGGCACCTTCCCCCCTTCCTCCCCGCCCCCACAGGCTCGCACACACCACCTGGGCTCTTCAGGGCTCAAAGACACTGCTTCTCGCAGGGCCAGAATTGCCTTATCTTAATGATAGCCTTTGCCGGTTTACAACGATTCCACCCCCCCCCTCCGCCCCCCGAAATGAAATCTGACAGTTGGCCTGTATTTAACATTCCCAGGGGCTCCTCCAAGGTCTCTCTAGAAGTTCACTGAAAATGGAATTAGAAGTTTGATTTTGGCACCACACTTCTGCAGGCTGGCTGAGCCTCCCCCCCCCCCCCCCAGCTCGTCCTTGGTTCCTACTCGCCTCTCAAGCTCAGGCTCCCCTGTAATTTTCTTCCGGCCAGGGCTGTGCCTGAAGTCTGGCTGGGCTGAACCTTGAACTCCCTACGTAACTACAGACTTCCGTCACAGCATTTTGCATTCCTCCCCATGGTTCCTGGGTGCTTCATGACATTCTGTGCCCCCCCACTGCCCCGGCACAGGCCTGATCGATGTGTGCGAAACAAATCAGAAGGGCAGGACCAGCGACGAGGAGGCACCTCCCGTATGTTGTGTCTACGTGCTGGTGGGCAAGCTGTGCATTCGCAAAGTCCCCAATCGTTCGTCTGCCCTCACCTCGCTCCACGAAGAGGTGACCCACTGCAGCCGGGTGTTCTTGGGACATCGCCCTAGCACGCAGCCCTCCTGCACTTCCGGTCGGGGGGCGCTGGCGCACAGGGTCGCGGGGAGGGTCTCGGCGGCCGAGCCTCTGCACACGAGCTCTCGCCTCCTCACTCCGCGCCCACAGGTCTTGGAGCACTAGAGGACGGAGAAGAGTTGTTTTGCATGCCCGTTACTAGATGACTTTCTCCCGGGTGGGTGCTGAGAATACATTAACAAGACATCCATACCACTTTTTAATCACTTCACCCAGAGTCCCCGTTTAGTCCATTGGAGCAGGGGGAATCCACCCAGAGGCCCAGAAAACCGTGTAACTTATCCCTGATAACTGTTCACCTTCAACGCCTTCAATCTGCAGGCATTGCTTCGCCTCCCAGAGGTGATGGGATCGGGTGTGTTCATGGTGAGGCAGAGGCCTGCTCCTGAGAGCACCCATGGCAACCAATTTGCAAAAGGGCATCTTGGGGGAAGCGTGTCTCGCTGTCTGGCACAAGGCAGAGTGGAGCCGGTGTTTGGTACTGAGAGGCCCGTGTGTGTCCAACAAGGAGAGTAACTAGGGATCCACTCACCCATTACCATGAGTAATTCAGGCCTGCAGGGGGCTCAGGTCTGATTTCCCAACACCTGCTTTCTCTAGACTGGAACTGGGGCAGACTGATCAAGTATACACCCAAAATTTGTCAGTCAACACGCATAAGGCGAGCCTTCCTCCTGGACAACTTATTCTCTCCCGGCTTTCTTGTCCGTCACAGCAGCTCTGCGGAATCAGAAGGCAGCAAGCCATCTCCTCGCTTCCAATGGAAGTTAGAAACTTGCCGAGGTGGCTTAAAACACCTGGGCTTGAGCCTTGGCTCCATTGTGGCCGCCACAGTCTTTCCCCTCCCAGAAGGGGCATAGCAGAGGGGGCCACCTCGTCACAAAGCAGTCAGCTGGGCACGGTTCTAAGTCTGCTCAGAGGAACAGTGTGAATTGTCTTTATGTTCCAAAGGGAGACGGGGAGGGGAGGTGGCAATAGTGACGTTTTTAAACTTAGCAACCAGCACAGCCGAGGGTGCTGATTTACCGCCCTCTGTACACTGACGCATCTCAGCACCTGAGCAGGGTCGTGACCCTCCGCACACTTTACCCCGATTTACAGAAAAGGCCACTCGGAATCCCAGAGCCGAAGCCTCTTGGCCGAGAGAATCACATGGCAGCCAAGGCGCAGAGCAGGACAGACAAGTTAGTCTGACCCCAGACCACGGAAACACAGCGTTGCGTACCTCATGGCTCATTCGTGGACAGAATTTCTAAACAGCTACCTCTCACTTAATGAAATTCTTATGTGACACCTGCATTGACTTACAGATGCTTCCTAGGGGTATGGGCTCCTGTAGAACGAGCGCTGTGGGAACCCTGCCATTTGCAGGGGCTTCAAAATGTTCACAGCGAAAGTGTGTTTTCTCAGTGTTCCTTGCGAACAGGTTCTCGAAAGGACACATTTGATTTGCAGTCGTAACAAAACCCTCCAAACATTTTATTGGAAATTTGGGGTAAACTTCTTGAAGGAAATGAGGTCTCGTGTCATGAGGGCCATAGGGCATCCACCTGTCTCCCTACAGCCATGCTCACCATTTGCAGTTGGCTGAAACAATCCTTTGAATCCTCAGTTTGTAAATCACAATTCCTCCTTGCGAACAGAGAGATCGGATTCAATACCACACACTACACTGCATCTCCCGGAGATGCGCACATTCTCATTTGAACACAATGCTCTACATGCTCCAAGATCCTTTCCCACTCCTATTCTTATTCCCCTAAGAGAAACGGTCCTGACATTTTTTTTAAAAAGTACAGGGGCTGGCGCTGTGGCATAACAGATAAAGCCACTGCCTGCAGTGCCAGCATCCCATATGGGTGCCAGTTCAAGTCCCGGCTACTACACTTCCGATCCAGCTCTCTGCTTCGGCCTGGGAAAGCAGTAGAACATGGCCCAAGTCCTGGGCCCCTGCACCCACATGGGAGACCCGGAAGTGGCTCCTGGCTTTGGATCGGTGCAGCTCCGGCCGTTGCGGCCAATTGGGGAGTGAACCATTGGATGGAAGACCTCTTTCTCTGCCTCTCCTTCTCTCTCTGTGTAACTCTTTCAAGTACATAAATAGTTTGTTGTTTTTTTTTTTTTTTAAAGAAGTACAGTCTAGGGACCAGTGTTGAGGTGTAGCAGGTGAAGCCACTGCTTGCAATGCCAGCAGCCCACATCAGAGCACCAGTTCGAGTCCTGGATACTCTGCTTCCAATCCAGCTCCCTGCATAGGCACCCGGGAAAGCAAAGGCTGAGACTTGGATAGAAACACCTGGCTTCTGCCGGGCCTAGCCTGAGGTTTCGTGGCCATCTGGAGGCCAAACCAGGGGATGAAAGCTGTTCTCTCTCTCTTTCCCCCCACTCCCTTTATTTTAAACAGGCAGAGTGGACATAGAGAGAGAGAGACAGAAAAAGGTCTTCCTTTGCCATTGGTTCACCCTCCAATGGCCGGCATGCTGCAGCTGGGGCTTCGCACTGATCCGAAGCCAGGAGCCAGGTGCTTCTCCTGGTCTCCCATGGGGTGCAGGGCCCAAGCACTTGGGCCATCCTCCACTGCACTCCTGGGCCACAGCAGAGAGCTGGCCTGGAAGAGGGGCAACTGGGACAGAATCCGGCGCCCCGACCGGGACTAGAACCTGGGGTGCTGGCGCTGCAGGTGGAGGATTAGCCTAGTGAGCCGCGGCACCGGCCCTCTTTTTCCCCTCCCAAATAAAATATCTTTTTTAAAAAAGGCCCTCCTCTGACCTCTGTGGCGGATGAGCCAGTGCATCGCTGACCTCAGAATTCAGCACCTTTCAGAACATCATGTACCAAAAGGAAAGCATGGCTGAAACGTGCCTTCCTCATTCCAATGACGACTTCTTCATTGTTTTTTCCCTTTTCTGGCTCCGCCAGCCCTTGCTCACCCTCCCTGGCCTCGCAGAGGGCGAGCTGCTACCTGCACGGGACACTGCAGCTGGGAATGACAGGTGGATTCACGCCACCCCCACCATCGCGCCTTTCAATAGGAGGCTCTGGAAAAGCCAACTTGACGCCCAACTCCTCTCTCTCTTCTCACTCTCCTTCTCATTGGAACCAGAATTAAACACTTCCTGTGCATCATTCCTTGTGGTTTTCATCGACTCTGGAGAGCTCAGTAGCCGCGTTAGACACCTGTCCTCAAACCGTCCGATCCTTCCCAGCCATTTCCATTACAGCTTAGTCCAGCCGTAATGGCCTCCAGACTCTGACCGGCAGCCTCTGGGGAGGAAGCTAAGCTCTCCCACAGGGGCTCCCAAGCTTCAGTTCTCATAAGAATCACTGAAAACACTCGGCAACTGCAGATGCCTAGGTATCGCGCTAGCACCGTGCAATTCCCCGGAAGACCAACGGCCGAGGGCCTGGTAGGCAGGACCCACACCTCCACGTTCAGCACCTTCCCCAGGGAACAGCGAATGAGGCCAGGACTCCGCGTCCTTTCGATTACCTGGGACCAGGGCCCGGGGCTCCACTCGGGAGGGCAGGCCTGGCTGTTGCAGACTTGCACCTGAGTGGGTGTGCTCACTGGGCAGAAAGAATGCAGCACGGCCTCCTCCTTCTGGAAAGGCTTCTTCTGCACGCACTGGACCTTTCGGCTCTGCTGGCCGCCCGCGCAGGACTTGCTGCAGACGCTCCACTCACCCGGCATCCAGCTTTCAGGGAGAAAAGAAAATCACCTTCAGAGAGGCTGAGACTTCGTGTTGTGAGTTCCGAGGCAGCTGCTACCAAAGGTTGCCACCCCACGAAAGCCGCAGCTCCACCTTAGCACCACTGAGAACGACTCGTACTAACTGTTCCTTTATAGATTGTGAAGCCCACACTGAAGTGGCTTCAATGGGGGCCAGCACCATGGTGCAGTAGGTGAAGCCTCTGCCTATGGTGCCGGCATCCCATATGGGTGCCGGTTTGAGTCCTGGCTGCTCCACTTCCTATCCAGCTCTCTGTTATGGCCTGGGAAAGCAGTAGAAGATGGCCCAGGTCCTTGGGCCCCTGCACCCACATGGGAGACCAGGAAGAAGCTCCTGGCTCCTGGCTTCAGACTGGCACAGCCCCAGCCATTGTAGCCATCTGGGGAGTAAACCATTGGATGGAAGACCTCTCTCTCTCTCTACCTCTCTACCTCTCCTTCTCTGTGTAACTTTCAAGTAAATAAATAAATAAAAAAGGCATTCTGTCTACCAAACTCAAGTTTTTTCTCTCATTCATGTGACACATTTGATGAACTTGTACTAGAGGAAGCCCAACACAGAGGTTTGGCCTGACATGTGTGGCCTTGCACACTGAGCTCCAGGCTAACTCTTCATCTAGCTTCGTCTTTACCCACCCCTACACCTCACATACCAGATCCCTACGCTCTCCATTTGACCCCTAACTTTTTTAAGATTTTTATTTATCTATTTGACAGGCAGAGCTACAGACACTGAGAGGGACAGACAAAGGTCTTCCTTCTGCTGGTTCACTTTCCAAATGGCTGCCACAGCCGGAGCTGCGCCAATCTGAAGCCAGGAGCCAGGTGCTTCTTTCAGGTCTCCCATGCGGGTGCAGGGGCCCAAGCACTTGGGCCATCCTCCACTGCCCTCCTGGGCCACAACAGAGAGCTGGACTGGAAGAAGAGCAACCGGGACTAGAACCGGCACCCACATGGCATCATGGGATGCTGGTGCCATAGGTGGAGGATTACCTAGTGTGCCATGGTGCCGGCCCCATTTTTTTTTTAAATATAAAAACATTACACTGCTTCTCCACTATTTCTTGATAATCTACCCCTTCCCTTGATGGCAGGAACTAACAGCTACTCAGCTGTGTCCTCCAGTTCTCAGGTCAGGACTGGCCTACAGACTTGAAAAAGTAACACAGTTACTTTATCCTTGGGCTCTAGTACTCTGAGAGCCAAACCTTTCTTTCGAGCCCATCAGTGGAGAGACGAGGCTCTACAAGGGCCCACTACTCCTGCAGAAAATGCTGAGAAATCAATCCCCAGCTGGAGAACAAGGGAGCAGAAGAGCCTTCCCGTGTCACCACTCCCGTGCTAGAGGGACATTGCAAGGGGGCTGTTCTCGATAGCACAAAACACCGTTTCTGCATGTACGCGTTGGAAGAGCTTGGCATGGCCTCCACTGTCTCCCTTCTCAGGGATGTGCACGTGAGCATGTCATTCTGCCCCTTTCTTTGGTTTGCTGGAATAACCACCAATGGGCATGAGGCTCCAAATCCGGAAAATCCCAGCTCACCGTTCCAGCGTACTGATTTCCCTGACATGTACATAAGCACGCACACACACACACACACATTCTCACACCACCGCCACCTAAAGGCTATGTTATTCCGCAAAGGTCAGTAACAGTATTTGGCCATCACATTTCAGAGCCGCTGGCATTTTTAAAAACCAGATATTTCCTAGCAGAAAAAGGACAATGGCTGCTTCATTGTCTCCTCTCTGTTCAGGATGGAGCCAATTCCAGACCTTAAGACAAAAACTGGTTGGCAGCTGGGCCTTTGAGACTGCGGGCTTGCTGAAACCCCAAACGATGATGACAAATACGCGATTAGTTACAAGGAAAAAGTCTGTATACATGAAAAAAAAAAAGACGGTGTAACATGATGGCATCGCCACAAACCAAACACCACTTATTAAGATGCTCTAAAGCACTGGCGAACTTAACGCTGGCCTAAAAGAAACTCTGGCCGTTCTTTATAAACATGTTTGGCGGAAGAAGAGACTCCATTTGGCCGGGCAGATGACTTAAAATTAGTGTCCAGACAACAATGTGGCTGAAATCAATCCAAGAACAAACCCCATCAGGACATCACCGGGGGGGGTGTCACCACTTGGCATTCTCCTCGTTTTATTTTGTGTCTTGCTACTGTGTAATTTGCCTTTGGGGTTTCACGGATTGCACAGTGTTCTCATTTTTAAATGCTTGGATGCTTTGTATGAAAAGTTAAGCATACAACCACACGTACATTGAACTATAATAGGATTCTTTATCATTTAAATATGTGTTTAATTACGTTCAGGAGGAGAGCTCTCTATGTGAAGGATTTTTAAAATACCCCAAGGTTGGGTTTGCAATAGCCCAAGTGCGTGTTTGGCCCAAATTTGTGTTTTCAAATCAGATGTTTCCACTTCAACTATCTTTCTTCTTCTATGACTATTTTAGGTGTTGGAGCTCCCTTTGAATCACTTTCCATCACAAAGTCGTGTTGATGTGGATTTTCATTATCTCACACCAGCAAGAAAGGCATTCAAGGATACACAGAAACAGAGAGAGACTTCCACGGGACTTACTAGGCTGGGCAGGAGAAAGCGTTGCAAGGTTTGGGTTCAGTGGCTGGCTTGGTTCTTGCATTGCAGAATGAGGAATTGACTTGGGTATTTTGATCTCGTAAGCAAATGGCCTTTACAGTTACGTAACCTGGTAAGACATCAGAAACGACAACGTGAAGATGGCAGAGACCCGACTCCATCTGCTTTGCAGGTTTAGCTTTGAATCCACCTGCAGTCTACCATTTGACTGAAGAGACAAACAATCCAAATAGTCTGCGGAAACAGCTCATTTTCATCAAGTCTGTAGGGTGAATTCCATTTTCCTGATAAACAAATTTTGCATTTTAATGATTCAACATGTAGATTCTTAGTGCAGGCGTGTTCAGTGGCCAACATTGATAAATCCAATCTCTCGCAAGAAGAGGGATGCTAAAGGAGCACCTTTCAATAAACTGCAACTACACTGCACACATCCGACCCAAAATGCTCTTTAAAGAAAAAACCACTGGCACATCAGGGGTGGAAAATCCTAGAACGCATTTGCCAGGAAGCCTCTTCCCAGAAGGGAGTGCGTGATGCACACAGCTGACCTCACTGAATGCCTACTCATGCCTCGGGGCCAGGACTCTCTGCTCTGTTTGTTGAGCGGCACCCCACTGCCTTATTGTCAATTTTCATTTTGGGACTGAGCAGCAATATAGTTTCTTTTGTAAATAATTTTATTTTTTAGCTTCTTACAGAGGAATGCTACAACTCTTTTGTCTCTGTTTAGATGATATTCTCCTTTAAAATGCAACCTGAAAGGTGACCGAAAAGTGAGTCCTGCTGTGACTATTAGCAGTCAGTCCAACTCTATGGGTTGTAACAGGTTTGCTTCATCAAAGCCACATTGAAATTCCAGGAGCCAGCGCTGTGGCACAGTGGGTTAGTGCCCCGGCCTGAAGCGCCAGCATCCCTTATGGGCACCAGCTCCAGTCCCGGCTGCTCCTCTTCTGATCCAGCTCTCTGCTACAGCCTGGGAAAGCAGAAGAAGATGGCCAAGTCCTTGGGCCAATGCACCCACATGGAAGCCCTGGAGGAAGCTCCTGACTTCAAATCAGGTGAGCGCCGGCTGTTGCAACCATATGGGGAGTGAACCAGCGGATGGAAGACCGCTCTCTGTCTGTCTCCATTTATCTCTGTCACTCTCTCAAATACACAAAATAAAAAAAAAAAATCCAACAGTCAATAGTGTGCTCCATAGAACTTTCTCCTTCAGACTTGTCTTCTCTCATACCTAGTACGTATCACTAACGGTGACTTGTGGGCAGGGATGGCAAAATGAAGGCCTGGGGGCAACTCCCCAACATACTTCCCCCTCATCCTCCCCTTGGCTGGATTCATTCCCCGTCAATGGGAAATGAATCTGCACTCCCCAAGGTACCGTGCTCTCCCAGGAACAGCAAGCACTAGCTATTGGAGACGTGCTCCGGAAAAGCGGCTCACGATCTAAGACTGAACGGAAAAGAACAGAAGGCGGATCTGTACTGTCTGTAGCAAGATTTCTGTTCACTCCCAATAAATACAAAGGGATTCTTAAATGTGTCAAACGCACGTGTTTCTTATGGATAGGATAAAATAGAATGTTAAGAAGAATTAATATTGACTGCTGCTATATAAAGAGTTTGCCAGGACTACTTTTCAAATGCCCATTAACAAAAGCACATTAATGTTGCTTTCCATACGTGTGCATATTTTAAAACTACTGCCTCCTACTTTATTAGTTACCATGAGCACCGTAAGATGGGCCTTCGAGACAAGAATTTCTTCATCTCTTTCTACCTCTGCTGTCTCTGATTCTGACAGGGCTCATTTTGTTCAGCGGGGCAGACCCATTAGGAAGACCCCCTGGCCCCAGGGCGCTCTGAAAAATAGCCAATGAGTAAACATCACACTTTGCTTTCTTGGACCTGTTCCTGGGCTTTCATTCTTCCTCCCAAAAGAATAACTATGGCAATGACGGACTCGCCCGAAAATACGCGCTGTATCTGCCATCTAAAACGCTCTCTTTCTGCTGTGGAGCGGACCGTAACTGCTGTTCCGTCTTTCCAAGGAGTATTTCTCAGTCTTAATCGATTTCCCTACTGAGAGACTCCGCTGCCCTTCTCCCGGAGAGATGGGGCCACACGGTACCTACTGTGTTATTGATGGCTGTTTCAAGTTTGTTTTCTCTATGTTCTCACTTGGCGTGGCCCTACTTTCTCTAAGTCCCAGTGGGAGGTTTATTAACAACAGCAGTAAACCAAAAGTTAATATATATATATATATATATTAGAGTTGCCAATCTGTTTTAGACAAGGGGTCTTCAAAAATTCCATGGAAAATACACATATGGAAAAAGGACGCAGGGGTTTCAAAATATTTTGCACCAACAGAAACTTGTCTTTTAATTCAGTTCTTCAGGAGCTTTTTGATGTACTGTCTGATCTATAAATGAATGTATTTCGTACATTTTTCTCATAAGTTTCATGTGTGTACTTTTTGAACCCTGGCTGTGGTTGACTGGAACTCTGTAAGAATTGGTTCCTATCTACATAGGAACATCCTCAAGCGGTATGGTGGCCCTGGCTTTTTACAGTGCTGGTTCCTATTAAAGACAGTGCTTTGGTGGCTTATTTAAACCATCCTGCACGCAGCTGGAGTGAAAGAATCTGTTTTAAGAAGAGAGGGACACTTGGAAGACAGAATTAGCAAATCAGCTACCTCCACCGCAGGAGACGGAGCAATCTGAGTGCACGGTGCTCCAGGCGTGGTGGTGTCTTTTTGTGGCTTGCTGCGTTCCATTCACGGTCTTGGGAAGTGCATACTTCCAAGCTATCCCTGGGTTTTTGCCTTGCATCAGAATCTGGGCAGTATAAAATAAAATCAGAGATCAAGGTACAGGTCAGACCCTGGAATTCCAGAAATGTTGTTGAACATTTTCAAGATATAAGCATGATGACATTTGGACCTTCAGTTGGTTTACTTCACTATTTCCAAGTATGTTTTCTGTGTTTTTTTTTTTCTAATTTTTCCCATGACACCTTAAAATGCATACTTTCCTATGGTCAAAACCATGATTTAGATAGTTGCTAAAAAGTAGCACCTAAGTAGTACCCTAAGTCCACAACTTTCAACTCTAGGTATCCCATTAATAAAGCCTTATACATACTAAAAGGAAGGAACAATAATTATCAATCTTTTTTTTTTAATAGGCAGAGTTAGACAGTGAGAGAGTGAGAGAGAGAGAGAGACAGAGACAGAGAGAAAGGTCTTCCTTCCGTTGGTTCACCCCCTAAATGGCCTCTACGGCCGGCCCGCGGTGCCGATCCGAAGCCAGGAGCCAGGTGCTTCCTCCTGGTCTCCCATGCAGGTGCAGGGCCCAAGCACTGGGGCCATCCTCCACTGCCTTCCTGGGCCACAGCAGAGAGCTGGACTGGAAGAGGAGCAAGCGGGACTAGAACCCGGCGCCCCAACCGGGACTAGAACCCGGGGTGCCGGCACCGCCAGCCTGGATTTCAATCTTAACCTAAAAGCCTAGTATGGCACACATAGTGCTACGCCATAGACAGCAGCTAAGCCCGCATCTACGTAAATACACACTGATGATCTATCCTGAGTCACATCTGATAAGCTGCATCCTGGGTACCAGGAGAAGCAGGGGCACAAGAGAAGCACCCCAGCACCACGGAGTGCCCCACGTGGAGGTGACTACCATCAGCGCTAGAATCCCAGTGGGCTTCCAAGAATTCTTCCAGTGATAATGTATCCAAAGAGAATGTGTCTATCCACTATGTCCTAGATATGCAGGTAAGTAAAAAGAAGTATGACCAGAACCAGGGATTGGTAAGACATATAGTGCAATCGGTTCAATCCTATGAGGTCTTACCACTAAAATAAGAGCAGTCACTTATCGGACACCTCCCAGGTGCCAGGCCCTCCGCTGGGCATTTTCCATGCACTGGGTAAAAATATTCCTCTAGCAACTCTGTCATGTAGCTGCCTTATTTTTCAGTGAAAGAAAAAATGAGGACAGAGAATTTGGGTAAGATCACTCAAGTGCCTAGGGAATGAGTTTAAATAACAGCTCAACAAAAATGAGCCTCAACAACGCAGTGTATCACCTTGTTTTTTATGTGGGCAAACACAAAGCATTTGTCTCCTTGATGCCCTCTTTTCTTAACTGATCTTTTTTTTTTCTTTTTTCTTTGCAGCTCAAACCATGGATATAAATAGCTGGTTTTTTTCTTCTTCTCCCCCACCCCATGAGTCTTGTGGAAATTCTTTACCACCAGAACTGGGCATTCGTGCCCAAGACACAAAGTTGATTGCCAGTTAAAAATAGGAACCCCTGGCTCTATCTCTGTCTGGTGGGGTCCCACCTCAATTACAGTGGAGAGAGTGGGAGCTGTTCAAGGACCTCTGTTATACCCCATCTCTCTTTAGGATGCTACCAAATGGTTTCCACTTGGCTATTAGCTTAAGCGCCTCCAGAAAAATTCTGGCTCACTCTTGAGTTTCCAGGGCATGGATGTTATTTCAAGGTGCCAAGAAAATCAAGGGAGGTGCTCCCCAGGAACAATCAACATGTTCACGGATGGATCTGCATGCCCTACTCCCCCTCCAAAACACAACAAAACAAAACAGAACAGTACCATTTCAACAAATACCGAGTTTTCATGAGTTGCCAATGAAAGACTCTCAAACTCAAAGTCCTGGGAGTCTTTGAAGATCTTCTGGGACTTTGCATTTCCTACAACTGGTTCTTGGAATCCTGTGTTCAACTTTACACAGCATTTCATTCATTTTGAATCAGTGTTACGCTTTTCTTACTTGGAATTTCTCCAGTGTGTCTGTTACTGTTTTATGTGATACTAAGTAAACATAGAAACGAAAGCTTTATTAATAGTCAAAGTAGAATTTTGAGAGAACTCTTGTGACCAGAAGATACTCTTGATGCTGCTTGATATTTCCATTTCATTTCCGCTTCAATTCAAGCAGTATCTGAAACTAACACTTTTGGGGGTGGGCATGGTTGCATATTGGACTGTAGTAAGTGGACAGCTTGCATAGTCACCCACTGTCAAGGCCATGTCTACATCTGTACTCGTGGGCTCCTCCTCCCCTTCTGTTACCAAGCGTGCCCCTTCCCGGCTCCTGTCCAAGTCTTCTCCTTCCCTACACGCGGATTCCATCTCTCACCTACTCCAGCACATCACCACCATGGCTGGCACCATCTCAGAAGCCTCTCTGAAATGCCCCTGTCCAATGGGTCCTTCCCATTAACATCCCAACATGCTGTCATGTATCTACTCCTAATTAAAAAGAATTAACTCCACACGTCCTGCTGATGAAGTCTCATTTTTCTACTTCTAACAGTCCTCTAAGAGTTGCCCTGTTTCCACGTTTCTTCATTCAGTCCTCCCAATAAGGTGCTCCTTGGACATCCTGGGAACTGCTCTTTCAAGTGCACATTTCAGATGCAAGTAGCTAACAGTCCTCATCTTACTCAACAAGTCACCACCATTAGACATAGCTGATCACTTTTTCCCTACCAGAAATCTATGTCCTCCAGTTTTTTCCAACCTCCTTGCTTTTAGCTTCTGGCGTCTTTTGCTGACTGCTCCTTGTCTTCTCTTCAGTACCTCTAAGTCCAACCGCTCAGCAGTTCCTGTTTACCTACACCCACTCCAGCAGGTGCTGTCAGCTAGGCCTGTGGCTGAAGTTCAGCATAGGTGGGGACCACTGCCAGAGTGCTGACTCTGCCTTAGCACTCTCCAGGAGGACTGTGCAGTGGGCTCACACACCACCATTCTGTGCTGCTCCGTAGAGTAGACACGAGCCACATGTGCCCAGCAAGCACCCGAGACGTGCTAAGTGTGACCAAAACACAAAACTGAATTTCATTGAAATGCAGACGTAAGTAACCATGCACAGCTGACGGCTACCACATGGAGATGCAGAGCTATGATGAATCCTAGGCTCCAGCCTCCATATTCACGTATTCAACTGCCCACTCAGCGTCTCCATTTGAATATTTAAAAGACAACTATCAACATCTCCACTGAACCAGTCACGGTCTTCCCTGTCCCCACAAAGTCAGCTCCGCAGCCCTATCTCATGAAATGGCAACCTGTCCGCTGAGTTGTCCTGGCCCAAACAGAACCACAGGGCCACCCCAAACTTCTGGCCAGGAAACGTCATTCCGTTTCATTTGGGCCTGCCTCCTGTCTGAGCACATGTACTGCTGCTGCTCTGATGTGCCCTCATCCGTCTTATGCTTTCCTGGGTCAAGGCCCTGACAACTCTGGAGGGAGGTGAACAGCTGCCCATCAAAGGTGACAACGGGGAGACCTACAGGAGAAAACAACACAGCGACATTTGCTGAGCAGGTTCAACAGTGCTGCGAGACGGGCAAAGGGAAGGCAAAGGCTTCTGTGACAACGGAGGAGGAACACTGCACGACCACCGAAAGCCCCTCTGTGGCTCTCACGTGGTCCGGCACACATCCAAGAAGCCACAAAACCAACAAAGAGAAGTCGAGTTTTCCTTGAAGATTTTTCTTTCCTCTCCAGGAAAAACTTCTATTGTATTCCTTTCCTTCCTTACAATTGACATGAAAACACGCAAAGATTCACAGAACAGAAAAGTAAAATTCTGGAGGCTGCAAGTTGGAAAAGCACTGAATAGAATATTTCATAGTACTAAGGGTGAACAAATCCACTTCCCATTTTCAAAGTAATAAAAAAAAAAACTATGACTACAGCCAAAAACAAGAAGAAAAGTAACTGACAGAATTTACTGTAAATGTTCACAGGAACATGCACTTTTAAATTACAAACTCATAAAATGCATAGTAGCTAGTTATTTGTGAGTGTTTATGTGTGTGTGACCAATACAGTTCTACAGCCAGTGGCATACACAACGTGCCGTTTATATTTTATTTGCTGCACATACTAATGCACTCACTAAATGCATAAGGGAATCTAGGGTCTCAGCTTCACAAAGCCAAATAACTCAAAGCTGACTTTCACGTCTTTGTAGCTATAAATTCACACATGGTTTTATGTGTGTAATTATGTAGGCTGCAAGAGAATATTTATAGAAACCAGCAGCAAGCTAAGAATTTACTCTCACATCAACTCATAAAGGCTTCTTAAAGGAAGTAAGAAGTTAAACAAATAGGCCAGCCAAGCCCATCCATACCAAGGATGAGGATGTGTCAGTTATCACACTGTGTTATTTACTTCTCCATCATGAAAACCTTGCATTCCTTTTCCTATATTGAGGAGAAAAATTGCCAACCACGCACACAGCTGTCATCCTATCTCTTCCTATCTGATGCCTGAGCAGAGTTAATCCTTTGGAAATAGACCCGTGACTAGCATTTCTGCACACCTCTCCTTCACCCCTCTTCTCAACAAAAGGCTGAACTACGTTTAAGAAATCAATTCTGCTATCAGGAAAGCTACATAATTGGTATAAATTTCTGCAATATCAAGGTACAAGGTCCCTTATGTAAGTTGAGAATTTCCAGACAGCAGTAATGGCGCATTTAACCAAACAGAGAATCCTTCTGAGCACCAAGTCTCCTACCACTGCAGGTCCCACACCCACAAAGCCAGCCTGGCCCAAACTGAAGGTCCACGGTTTCTCACCTGGATCAGTTCTAAGAGACAATTAGTTTTCTTTTCAAATTCCCACTGGCTCTGTGTTCTGACAATGACTTCTTCCTGTCTTCGTAGATGAGGGTGGCAGCACCCCATTAGGTGGCCTTATTTATACCCCAGTACCTCCGTGGGACCATCACCATCACCTTAGCGGCAGACAGCTTCTCCCCTGGGACGCAGGAGATGCTTGGGGAGT